ACATAAAATTACAATTAATGAGCTTGCTGTTCTTATGACAGAAGTAGTTTTCTCTGAATCTGGGTCACCACTAAACACATAAGATTGGCTAATTTAAGATAAACTACTTAAAATTTAAGAAATCTAAAATGAGAAAAATGCATTTATACATTTATTATGAAAATTTATAGAGCATGTTAAACTTTACAAAAACATTTTCACCTATTTAAAAAAATTTTTTAGTTGTTGATGGACCTTGATTTTTTTTGTTGTGCTGAGAATTGAACCCAGTGCCTCACCCATGCTAGGCAAGTGCTCTACCACTAAGCTCCCACCCCAGCCCCATTACCTATTCAATTTTATTTGCTTCTTAGAATCACCCTAAGTTGGATACCATTATGTATTTTTTATATATGTGAAAAACAGGCTGGGAAAATGAAATAAAATCCTTTTCTGACATAAAATTAACAGACCTAATGTACATAGGATATGGTCAGGATTTGAATTCAGGTTTTTTGAGGGCAAATTATATACTATTCTTATTTAATGGTCTTCAATCCTAATTTTGATTTTACAGTATAATAAAAATGAAAAGCAGGTGCTTAATGGCAAGCTTGTCCAATCATCTGTGGATAAGTGACTTCTTAAACTGAACAATGTGACATAAAGATATTTTCATCGTACCTACAGAAGGAATTCTGACAACCACAGGTTTGATGCATTTTGAGCACTTAGCTAAGAGTAGAAGAATGCATTATATTGTCACTCTTGCTTTAGAAATTTCAGCCAAAGAAATGAGCTAATTCCCTAGTCACACTCCATAGCTGCTGAGAAGCTGCACCATCATTGTCCCTGATGAATTCCCCCATGGAACTAATTACTTGGAGGAAGGAAGGAGGCAAAGATGAGCATCCCTTGTGGAATATGCTCTTGTACCACACAGCTTCTCCTTAACCTACCAAGGTACCAGGAACTGCTATTTTCCCAAGGAGGCCATGTCAATTCTGATATTAAGGGCCATCACATTAATAAAACAGAACCTGAAGGAAGGGACACTGCTAGGAGAAACCAGAATTCACCCAGCACTCCTAGAAGTAAAATGTAATGGCCTGTTACCTGAAAATGGGTGTATGTCTTGATATTGACCTAATTCTCATCCATCAAAAAGCTCCTGGCCATCTCTCCACTCCCCACAAGCCTGCTTTCCAGTGACCTCCCAGACAAATCCCCAAATAATTCCCCAAATCAGTGAAGTCTCTTTAGACTCTCTTTGGAGATCTTAGCATAAAAGAATTTCCACAAGATATTCTATCACCTCTTTCCTCTTTGTGTTTTCTCCCAGTGGAAATTTCCTTGGTTCTTTCTCTAACACATTAACTATAGTGTAGTTTTCCTTAAAGCATTTTCTGAGAGAAAAATTCTGTATAACTGTTTCTATTTCTGGTTTAGAAAAATCAGAATTCTCTTAGGACAGAGAAGGAAACAATCAGATATTATGCATTTGGTGTATAATATAAATTATTATTTTTTCAATAATTTAATTTTGTTAAAACAGGTATCAGTGTAGCTTTAGGTAAATGGCATCTGTGGCTACATTTTTTCCTGTCTGTTCCTACCTATTGTCAATATATCTTCTGTTTACTTCATGTAAGGTCCTTTGTCTGCCTATTTGCAAGTATATTTCACAATAGGTCTTTCAAAACCTCATTATTTACTTTTTAATACCCAAGAGGTAACTTCTCTCCTGAAGCATTATGATACCTGAGATAAAACAGAATGCTCTTGAGAAAATGATTACACAACTTACCAATAAAAACACAGGATGTCCACCTAAGCTTACAGTTCATCTGAACAAACAACAAATAATCTTTTGGTATAAATATACCCCCAAATATTGCATAATTCTTTATGGGACATAGTTATGCTAGGTGCAATGTCATACCAAAATTATTAAAAATAAATATTATTAAAAACCTAAACAATTATTTGCCTTTCGAAACTCAGATGTAATTAGGTATTTTGTATGTCAGGCAACACTACCTGAGGCCAGTTTTCCAATTCTATAGGACCTGAGGTGGAGTAAGTCAGAAAAGAAGCATGGTTTTCAACTTTCACATGAAGTCAGCATCTTCTCCCATAGAAATGGCACAAGAAGGGATATTAGTTCAAATATATGCACCTCCCCACCTCAGGGCTGACCCATTCTGACATCTGAGAATCAGAGCACAAGCATGTATTTTAATTAATTGCTATTCTATTGTACTTCCTCCTCCCCAAGGTGATTTAAAAATCTTAACTCTATAAATCTAACTAGTAAATTTCTGGGTCTATTTCAATGTTGACATTTAAAAAAAAATTTGAGGATTGCATTAAGCTTCAATGAGCCACAGGATAAAGCAAGATAAATAAAATATAATTGCCATTGAAGTCCATAAAAATAAAAAGTTCTCCAAAGTGTTAAACTAAAACAAAATTCCATGCAAACATTGTGTATAAATCATATCTTATGGTTCGACCAAGTTTAACCAATATTGGTTAGAGTTCCAATGAGTCAGTTTAAAAAAGTAAACATGCCAAATTCCAATTTTTAAACTAGAATCTTATTGTTCTCTAAGTTAACCTGTTTATAAGCCTCAGAACTAAAATCAACAATTTTTCAATAGTTGGATGACATCTTTAATGAAGGAAGTCTATACCAGGCATCACAGCTACACTGCCATCTACTGACCTTATTTTTTTTAGAAATGACTATGTTAGTTCTACCTCCCATCCTGGTTCTCATTTATAAAAACTGATAGGGTTTGCTTTTTAGGTGGGGAGGAAGAAGATCTGTAATAGTTTTGTTACCACTCCCCTCAAAATTCTATAGCAGTGTAGTAGATTAAATATGGTGCCAAATTCTTTGCTCTTTTTCACACTGAGAAGTAAAGTCTAATTTTCTTCCCTTCAGTCTGAATTGGTTTTAGAAACTTTTTTTGATCAATAGAATGTAGCAGAAGTGGCTGTGAGTTTCCTAAATGTTTCATAAGGAGTCTCTGGTTTCCACCTAGGCCTCTGAAAATACACTATGTAACTACCTGAGACCACAGGAGTATGCTGGGAGCTCCCACCCAGGCCCTCTGGTAGGCTGATCTAGTGGAGCTCAACTGTCTGGCCATTCCCTGTGGGTAGACCGTGAGTAGAGCCATTTGGCCCCTTCACCCTGGCCCACCTGCCAGATGAATAACAAGGAAAGGCTACTGATTCCTCTGGGGAACAGGACAGCCTGGCTGAACCTGTTGGAATTCTTGGCCCATGAAATCCTGATGTAAGCAAGTGGTTGTCATTACAAAGTTTTAAAGAAGCTCGTTGAACAGGAATAGATGGCCCAAACAAACAGTGATTGTTATGCTTTAAAAGTAACAGAATGAAGGAAAAGGAAAGAAGGCTGTGCAAAGGGAGAAGGTGAAAGGGGAGGAGTGGAATAAAATTCCAAAGAGGAGAACCATAAATGTCTTGGACACCAATAAAAGAGGAGTTGGGGATGTAGAAGACCTACAGTGAGTTTTAAAAAAATCAGAGTCAAAAATGTTTAGCAGGCTGCTACCATGATTTTGGACAACTCACAACTTTGGCCCAACTTCTTAGAGATTCAGAGAGGAAACAGCAGTCATGTTCCACCTCATGAGGCAATGAATAAACATGACAAATAAATATGCAGAAAATAAGAGCTAAAAATGATAAATATGTAAGAAGCAATCTTTGTTCCTACAAAAAATCTTTCATCAGGTGATTTCAAATTAGAAGGAGTCTCAGGAGAAAATAATACTGGAAATATGAACCGATTTTTATTTTTGATGCTTTTATTGAAAAGGTACATTTAAAAAAATACACAGACATTTTACCATTTACAGATTGCAGATATAGATACTCTAAAAGAGTTCACTATTTTATTGTTTTATGATACTTCTTGCCCCTGATATCACAAATATTCTAGTCTTGTTGAT